TGCCATATCATAGGTGCGCGCGGATCCTAAGACTTACGGTCTCCGTCCCCGATTATGGCTCCTGGACAGAAACAAATCACTTGATGAATAAATATTTTCCGACTTGGGCGGAAGCGACTGCCAACGCTCTATACACTGGTCAGCGGATGTAGAAAAAGTTAAAGGAATCGAAGGAAGGACGCAAGGAAGGAGTGCCGTGTTCCATCCATACCTACATCTCGGATCAGTGACTACGTCATTATACGAGTTAAAAATGAATAGGCTCCGCCCTCTGCCCAGTCAAGACTGCTTTTTTGTGGGCTATGATACGAGATTTTTGCGCCTGATAATGGCGTCCATCTGTACTGGTTGGTGGCGACGTGTTCGTTGTGTTGTCGGAAAACATACACTTGTTTAAGAGGAGCTATTGAGATGTGTTATATAGCTTGAGTTTAGTTGAATCTAACGCGCGCTTTTATTGGTTGAGTTATGGTCAGGGGGCCATGGCTAAATCTAAATGTCGCCTGACGGGTAACAGTGAAGCAGTTGTCGCTACTCTCCCACTAACCAGAGGTTGCTTTGATTTGGAGTAATTCTTCTCACCTAATTACTTTACACTTAACTCGAGCTATTTGAGAAAACACTTAATTACTGTTTCCTCGATGTTTCCCTCGACTTCTTCTCGGGAAGCCTCGAGATTCTCGGGAAAATAATACTTACTATACATGTTTTCTTCGCGACCAGTGATTAACATTCTATTTTATGGATCAAAGTCTTAATAAATTTTATATCCCATTGAGGTTGAGTTCAGTAAATTTCTTGCAACCACCCTTCTACCCCACATAAAGGTCGAAATATGGGCCATTAGCCATACCTACTTGAACAATAGGCCACTCCTGAGTTACCTTTTCCTCTGTGTCAAAACGAGTCTTCGGCGAAACCATTCATGTGAATATGAGTTCTACCTACAGGTTCATTTTCATGCAAATCAAACTCATTTTCGGATGAAAAGTGAGCACTCGTTTTGAAACAGAGCCACAAGGTAACTCGGAAATAGCCTGTTTGTGGGCTAGGATGTGTATGTGCGGAACGGATAAAAATTGCCAGCAACAACAAAAAAAAGGCACAAAATGCACATTTGGTTATCTTTTGTTCATAGTCCCTAATAATCTGGAACGGTGCGTTTCGAAATTCATTGCGTACTGCCATGATCATTAAAGCGTAGCTAGGATAACTCCGACTACCAGCTGCCTTCAAAAACTCTCCAGGGATAGGAGGCCTAAACAAGAGAACGAGCGTTGAACAACAGCGATGAAGATTTTAAAGAAACGCTTTCCCCACAAGCGCGCTTTCGCGCCTAATTTTTAGTTTGATTTAAATTACGCGGAAGACTATTGATTAGACAGAGGCAATACATCATTACTTCAATGCTTTTAACTGGCATTTTTCCTCCTTTTTGTTACGTTGTTTGACATCTCTGATCCGCTTTACACGTTCTTATTATATACGAGGGTCTCGATGGGGTGGTGGATTTTACAGCGAAGGGTTAGTATTTTGGCTTTTTATGGCTACAGGTTAACAGCATTAACGATATGCATTCATGTCGTTTCCATCATTCTTCAAAGGAGGCAGATTTAGACCAGATGTAGCAGGTAAGGATTGATTTTCGGAAGTTTACGGCTAGCTGTTGGCCCAACGTCGACCTCTTTTCCCGTCGGTATCAGGGGAAGGAATTGGTTTGGTAGGGAAGGATGAGTGATCAAACGAGCTCTTCCCTACTGGCAAAGTTACCACTTCTGCGAAAAGTCATTACTGCTGAATCCCCATTCCGCTTACATGAGGTAGCCGTTAGGTTCTACCAGACCCAAAAGTTAACGTTGTAATACTATTTTTGTTTTTTAGTAGCGTGATCAAACTAGGCGACAAAATCGGTGATGGATCGTACGGCGAGACTTTCAAGGCCGTGTGGCGTGGAAAGCAAGTCGCTGCCAAACAAATTCTCCCTATCTTCTTCGAAGGAGATCACGACGGCAGCATCAGAGCCGCTTTCTTGGAAAAGTTTAAATCGGAGTGGGAAATACTTCGCAGCCTTCAACACGACAACATTGTGCAGTATTACACTGTAATTGTCCCTCCTGCTCCGGAGACGCCGATCATTGTCACTGAATTGTTAGAGTGCGACTTGGCTAAGTACCTTCGAAGATCGAAGGGTAAACCGAAGGTGTCCTTCTCGGAAGTGATTAAATTGATGCTGGGGGTCGCCAAGGCTTTGCATTACTTGCACTCCCTTGAACCTCCGATCGTTCATCGCAATTTGGCCAGCAGAAATGTTCTGCTAACAAAATCGATGGATGCCAAGATTGGAGCCTTGGGTATGGCGAGAGCTTTCGCACATGGTGCAATGTACGTTACACCGGTACACGGTAGGCCAGTGTATGCAGCTCCAGAAACATATCCTAAGAGGTTCGGCAGAAAACCGAGATATAGCGAGAAAATCGACATATTTTCCTTTGGAGTGTTGACATTGGAGACCATTGTTGGTCATCTACCGAACCGTGTTTTGCCTGACCCTGTTCTCGAAGGTAATGCTTCAAATCGTTTGTCTTGAGAAAGATATCATTCAACCTTAGGGCCCGCTTACACACAGAATACTTTTCAGCTGATTTTTGCTACGATTTAACCTGCGATTTTGTGCGTGACTCCAAGACGCACGGTAAACCAGGGGGATTCCATGCGATTTTCTTGTGATTTGTTGCTGTTACGATTTAGCACAGATTTCCAGGCGGAGTAACGAAAAACCTTCTTTGGTGTACGCCCTAGGATGGTTTGTAAAAAAAACAGGACGGATGTATAACACTTGCAGGGCGAGCTAAGATATCTAAGTGGCCCCAAAGAAGACTTTGATTGTCGTCAAGATCTTTAATTAAGAGGGCGATCGATTAAACCTTCTCTACTCCTTCCCTCTACTAGAAATGCCGATCTTTTTTTGGTAGTCAGAAAGAAAACAGCAGCAACACACGAGAGGTAGCACTAGCAAGTCCTTTTGAGACGAATTCAATGTTATACGACTCTATCAACTGCAAGGGCTCCTCTCTCTCTTTTTCCAACTGTTTGTAGTCGCCTTTTCGACTTTTTCTCCAACCCCCACTACTTGTCCCTTGAGTCCCCTGGTCTTCGGAGGCCTGGGAGTGGAAGATGAAAGATGAGTAAGCCAAAGCGGACGAAGACCACTCGCTCCATTTTTCAACTCCCTTTGTTTTCAACAATGAGAACTAAAACGAACTTCTCCTTCTGTTATAGACGGGGTAATTGTCCCGGAGTACATTCGTCGGAGTGAAGACTTGGAAGAAATGGGTCCGGACCATGCACTCCATAATCTTGTCATCCAGTGCCTCGAGACCGTCCCCGAAGACAGACCTAGTGCTGCTGAAATCATAGGGACCCTGCGGAAATTCAGCACAACTGTGGAAGGAAAATCCTCAGGTTGTTTCCTATCTTCCTCATTAGTTATTATTATTTATTATTAGTCCAGATGCAAGGGACGCTTCGCTTAACCCAGAGTCCACATGACAGGTTTGACGACGGATTTGAAGACTGAATTTGCTGAATTTCCAAGTGTTGTATACCATCAAGTCAAGTCAATCTTATTTAAACTTGGACAAATAAGATTTGCAATTTAAATTGCGCTACACGCAAGTAACATCCTCGGAACCTTTGACGAACTGGGTGCCATGTCTAAAAATAACTTAAGAGGGATTACCTTGAGAATAAGACCTATATAGGGGGATTACTCTCTTACCTTGATCGTCTCTTGAAGCTAATCATTCCAAACGTTTAGGAGGGCTGTGGAAAGTAGAAATGTCGGCGCGGATCGTCACGACCCGCCTCACGAAGAGTCGACCCGACTCACCGAGTCATTTCACGAGAGACTTGAAAAGGCATCAGCTCGGAAAAAAGTCCGAGTTACAGATGGGATTTGAACCCACGACCCTTCGTGATCTAGCCGGACGCTCTAACCGCTTAGCTACTGGAGACTCTTAGTCTTTGGTGAGCAAGGGTGAAATGTGGGTCTTTGAATAGAACCGCATCGCGCGGTCACACAGCCAAATAATAACTTGGCACATATAAACTCATAACTACATCGCGCAGTCACATTGGGGCATGTCAAAGATGCCACCAACCACCCTCCAAAGTGAGTATTACAAGATATATCAAATATAGGAATGACATGCCTCAATGTGACTGCGCGATGCAGTTATCAGTTCATTTATGCCAATTCATTATTTGGCTGTGTGACTGCGCGATGGGGTTCCAGTCAAAGACCCGCATTTCACCCTTGCTCACCATAGAGTCTCCAGTAGCTCAGTGGTTAGAGCGTCCGGCTAGATCACAGAGGTTCGTGGTTTCAAATCCCATCTGGAACTCGGATTTTTTCCGAGTTGATGTCATTTAATTTCTACATTTAATATTTCTTGTTATACTGATTTGAAAAGGCACAAAAGAGATCCTGCATAACGTTTTATTGTACATATAGCGAGAATTTTACGCAATAAACCTTGCAAATAGAATTCTATATGTGCTATATTTCCACATGTGAAAAAAGCGATACGTTCAATCAGCTTCGCGTATAGCGTTCTTCCCATGTGAAAATATAACCAATCACCGTTCAGAGTAGAATCACTTAGCCAATCAGAGTTAAGCACTCAAATGGCCTCCGAGAAGCGCGGTCTTGAAATCAGCGCCCGCTTGAAGTTTATGTTTCGAGAACATGGCTTCGGCTTCCAGTTTTAGTTCACTTTCGGAAAAA